TTTTGCACCCTACCTGCAGCATCCATGCATTTTTTGGATATCCATACAACTTGTAGTCAATTTTTCTTATTGTCTTTTCAAAATTTCGTTAGACCTCTACGAACCTCTCCCAGCTAGGCGAATCAATTTGTCTTAAGGAGCTCATTGAACTTGGCCTTGAAAGCCATCTTGAAGAACTTGAGGTCATCTCCAGCCACGCTCGTCAGGAGCATATCCTTGAAACGGCCCTTGTTAAAATGCGGACTGAGTGGCAAGGCATCCTACTACCTCTAATCATATATACCAGCCCTCACTCGCTCCCATGGATGCAATTAAACCGGCCAACTGAGCCTGTAATTCGGGAGAAGGGCCCTAATCTGAATTATACTCAAGATGAACCTGATTTTGCTGGGCCGCCGGATCAGCAAGAGGTGGTGAGATTTCTTTTGGCCAGTCTTGAGGAGCACACAATAATTCACAATGACCAGGATGAAGAGACTTTACATGAGATACGATTAGAAACAGAAGGTAAAAATGAGGGCGATAGTTCTACAAGAGAAAACTTGGCTGCGATTAATGAAATGAAGGCAAACCAAGTTTATATTTTGGATTCCGTGGATGATATTTTGGTAGGTACTGACTAATTATGGCCAGCTAACATAGATCAAAACTTTCACATTTCTGACAGAGTAACTTTCCATTTTGAGGGAAAGTGTTTGGTGAAGAGATTCGAAAGTCAATTCCCCCAGAAAATGATGGCGGATTCCTTTACGCCAGCTGTCGATTGGCTTTACTTGAACATTCATGTTGACGCCGTTTCCGAGGTAATCTCCTTCGATTCCGGGGAAAAGGTGTTAAGCTTTCGTTCGTCATATGAAGAACATCATCAAAGCAAGGTATTATCATTACAACCAAATTCAAGGTAACAATCAAGAAAACTCGGAAATAGCGTCAACATGAAGGTTCCAGTGAAACCAATCGAAAGCTGGTCAAGAGGAATCCGACGTCGTTTTCTGGTGGACTCGACCTTCGAATCTCTTCGCCAAACACTTTTACTCGAAATGGAAGTAAGCTCAACAATTATGAAATAATGGATTCCTCGAAACCCAACTTTTCTTCGCATAGACTAACCTACACTTGCTAAGACTAATTAACTAATGATTGGGGCTTCAGTCTAGCCTTTATTTATTCTGAAATTCGATTTCACTCAGTATTTTCTCACAAGTAATTTTCCTATCTTGCTAACTCAGATAGATACTTCTGATACAGTTAAATGCAGTTGCGTTGATGTTAAAGAGATGAGCAAGAATGAAGTAGACAATCTTTTAAAAGGGGGCAGTCAAATAAGCTATTGCGATCCCGAAAGAGAGAAGGGATTTCACCAGGTAGTGTAAATATGCCTCTCTAAGTCAACCAAAATAGGCGAACCTCCGGAGTAGTCTAGACTAAAGAAGTTAGAATTTGTTATAGAGGCCGTATCATCTTAGTTCCCATACCTTTGGCTGAAGTTATATTTCTTCGAGTCCTATCTTAAATGTGAGGATTTCGACTGAATGTTACATCG